TCTGTTGAAAACACAACGGCAGCCAAGAGGAAGGAAGCAAGTTCTAGGCAGTTGTCTGTCTCCGATCTACCCTGTCATTTTCCTTTCTTAGAAAGAAACATAGAAGAATGAGAACAGCTCCAATTTTCGCCATGACAATTCCAATCCAGAGTCCAGAGCTGGACAACCGCCACATAGCTGCAGACAAAAGAAACACCAGGAGACCAATCAAAATGTGGGAAGGATACAGAGCAGTTTCATCATGACCTTAAGGTAGCCAGTCTGTCCACCGACTTAAACACTGTCCAAGGAACATGGCTCAGCCCGCAGAATTTTAGGAATGATTTTGCCCTTTCAACATGGAAGAAGGTACTGCATGAACCTTCCTTAATAGGAATCTGTGGATTAACTGTGGCTGGAGATGATGGGAGATGTGGTTCAGTGTTTTCTCTTTTACAGTTACAATGCTTATTGCCCCAGCCACTAAAGGCATTGTATGCCAGGGTTCCCTCCTTCTTCCCCTTAACAAATGTTGGGTGGTAAGAAAAGAGGAAGAAGAAAAGAGAAAAAGACTTACAAATGGAGCTAAATGGCATTGTGTCAGCCCTTCAAGGTAGACCAGACTAGGAAACCGCCACCCAGAGTCACCCATTGGGGGGAGATGGACGGCATACAAATTTAATAAATAAATAAATAAATAAAAACCAAAGTTATGAAGGCCAATACTACTTTTATTATATGGTTACAGTAACAGAATCTTGCAAGTCTGAATGTCCTTCCCCCTTCCCTCCCTTTGTCTTCTTGGGAACTAGGGAGGGTCAAGTCTGATACGTTTTCTCAAATTACATCTCTGCTTTGGACTCATACTTCTTTTATCTGATCATTGCAGCTCTTCCTGTTCCTCAAGGTTTTTCTTGCAGCCCTTTAAACATCGGCGGGGATCCCTTCCTACCCCAAATTCCATGAATGTGGCAGGACATCTGCACCATAAATGCTTGATCTGGAAGGACTATTGTGTGTCCTTGTTCCCTTTTAATGCCTGCAGACTTTTCACAGAGCTGGGATGTGGTCCCACCATTGCCACTACCACCACCCTTGATTTTTCCCTTTATTTTGTTTCTCTTAAAATGAGAGCATTTCTACCCCACTTTTCTCAGACAAGTTCAAGAGGGCTAAAATAATTTTGGAACCTATGAAACAGCACAAGATATGAGCCTCAGAAGCAGAATCCAGAACACTCAGCAAGGAATTGCCAGGGAAAATAATGCAATCGAACATTTCATTTTTAATGAATTAAGTTTAGTGTGAAGTGTGGGGTCAGAAGCTTCCTGAAAAGAAGACACTTTCCCCAGAGGAGATCCATCCATTGGATCCATTGAATCTTTCCTTCCCCCAATTACGAATGTGTATGTTACAGCCCACTTTACAAAATAGATTTCCATTCTAGCTGATTTAGGCATGGATTCTTAATAAATATCTGGACATACGTTTGCTGGACTATTTCAGGGCAGAAGAGGATTTACTTAGTTCTAAAAATGTATGTTCCCTTCCTTTATTTTCATAGTCTAAACACTCTACATGTCTAAGCAGAGGGGGCTTACTTCAAAGACTGCTTCTCGTGTGCAGCATTTGCGGGTTTGACCATGTGACCACGGAACAGGGACTACTTTCACACAACACACTGAAGCAGGTTGTGGTTCCTATGACCATTCCTTTAATGACCGTTCAAAGTTACAACAGTGCTGAAAAAAGTGACTTATGACCAGTCCTTGCACTTACAACTATCGCATCATCCCTGCAGTCACATGATCAGAATTCAGGCACTTGGCAACCAGCCTGTATTTACAATGGGTGCAGCATCCTGGGGTCATATGATTGCCATTTGTGACTTTCCCAGGGGGTTCCCAACTAGCAAAGTCAATGGGGGAAGCCAGATTTGCTTAACAATCACAGCAAAAGGTTATAAAATCGGGTGTGATACACTTAACAACCGCATCACTTAGCAATGGAAGTTCTGGTCCCAATTGTGGTCATAAGTCGAGGACTACCTGTATAGGCATGGGGTATGACCTGTGCACTTTCACCTCTCTTTAGCCATGCTACTTCCTAAATATTAGAAGGAATTTGCTGGCAGCTTTTCTGATGTAGAAGTTTTATTAAACGACAGAAACTTTTTAATAAAGATAGCTTTGGATGAAGTGAGCTCCAGCTCATGAAAGCTTATGCCTTTTAATAAAATGTGTAATTCAAAAAAAGCACTACCAGACTCCTGATTTTTTGCCACGGTAGACTAAGACAGCTCTCCCTCTACTTCTTAAGGAACTGAATGTTTTTTGCTCAGCTGGGGCGGACCTGCTATGAAACTTCTAATTTCAGAGGAACTGATGACCTTCTACCTCAGCCTGGGGATCATCCGTTTTTCCCCCTTGGTGATTACTTTATACTCAAGCACACAGACACTGTTATGACAGCATGTCTGTGCCACCAGCAAACATCCAGATCACTCTACCCTGTGCTCCTTTGACATAGGTTCTGTGCAGATATTCCAGAACCAGAGCAGAATTCGTCTTCTGCTTCTTTACTGAAACTCAAGAGAATTACATAAAGCCATAAATTACTGTCTTTGCTTGAAACTCAGCAGATGATCCCATCTTGTTATAACCTTGTCTATAGAAGTGATGTTGGAGAAAACGTTTGATAGCCAAGAAAATAAACCAATGGATTGTCAAACAAATCAACACAGAGTTCTTACTAGTGGCACAAATGACCAGGTTCAAATTATCCTACTTCAGACAAATTATGCAAAGACCTAGAAGCTCTCTGGAGAAGGCTCTGATGCTGGGAAAGATAAGAAGAGGACAACCAGCAGCAAGGTGGAGGGACTCAGTTACAGGATTGATGGAGACATCACTGGAAGATCTGAAGGAACAGGTTAGGGACAGATCGTCATGGAGAAAATCTAGCTGTGTGGTCGCTAAGAGTCGACACCAACTTAATGGCACATAATCAATCATAGAAAGGAAAAGGCAGGGAAGGGACATGGGGATAAGAAAGGATGAGGAGGGAAGGAGGGTAGACAAAAGGAAAAGTCTGCTGAGGTTTTCATGACTCAGTCAAGCTGGGATTAAATATTTCTCACCCTCCATGGTGGATCTATTCAGAGATGGCTTAGATGAAGCAGGAAGATTTTGGTAAGAAGAAAGCAGAGATACAGAAAGGAGAAGTGGCTGGATCTTCCTTCTCCCTTTCGCAAAGTCTTTCTTTGGATGCTCAAAACTTCTTTGAGGGGGATGTTCTCTCTCTTTCTGCTAATTGGTCCTTTCACCCCATTCTCCATATATGCAAATAACCTTCAGTGTTTATGTGAACCCTTGACAGGAGGAGCTTTTTTTCCCCCTATGACAGATCGTGTGTTGGTGTTCTTCTAACTTATTTCCTCCTGATTCTGTGGTTAACCAAGAACATCTGGAATCTGAGTTGAGGCTGCATTAACCATCTGAAAGAGCTGCTAAGGAACCGAAGGGAGGGAGGAAAGGAGTTGAAGGCATCTAAATAAAGGGGAGGAGTGTGAGCTCTGGAAAAACCACAGTCTTCTAGGCTAATCATAGTGATCAAATTAATTTATTGTCTGGATTCATATACTACATTGCACCATATGCTAATCAAACAGGCTGGGTTCATGTGCTCAGCTATGCTGCAGAACAATCTAACCAAGGTGAAGTGGGTTTAAGCAAGCTGGATAAATGCATCTGCCAGGTTTTATGTGGACTGTTTAGCGCATTGTGTGAACACAACCATGGAGTCACATCAAAGTCATTGCTTTCTATTGGGAGAAGACAGATGAGGTGCAGTTATTCAACTGGTGGAAAATGCTGCCACCTGCTGGTGATCAAAATACATGACATCCATATTGTTCCAATAATCCTGGATCTGCTTTAAAATTGTGAGTTATGAGCAGACCGCTTCCAATTCCCTTTAGAAGGATTTAATTTAATGTTATTTTTTAATTGTAAGCCACCCAGAGTTACCCTCTGGGGGAGATGGGCGGCATAAAAACTTAACAATAAAATAAATAAATATTACAAAAGCAGGCATCCGAATAAAAAAATTGCTATAAAATAAAGAGTTTCTTTTTCATTATTCTTACAGTTAGGGATTATTCTTATGTTTACTCTCAGTTGCTCTACCCTAGTCACTATTGCACAGAATCAAAGAATTGGGGAAGACACCCCAAGGATCATCTGGGCCAACTCTTGGCAGCGTGCAGGAAAGCCAATTCAACCTTTCTTGAGAGGTGCCTGTCCAGCCTCGTCTTCAAAATCTCCAGAGTTGGAGAGAATTGACAACCTCCATTGTTAGACTGTTACCCTGTTAAACAGATTTTACTATCAGGAAATTTTTCTTTACGTTTAAATGAAATCTGGGTAGCCGTAACCTGTTATTTCGCTCCTCCATTTCAGCGGCCATGGAGTTCAACTTTGTTTGCAATTCTGCAATCAAAGTGTGCCTTTGTGTTCTACGCAGAGTCTATTTTAACATCCTGCATTACTATATATATCTGTCTAAGCTGGTGTTTCTCAACCTTGGCAACTTGAAGGTGTGTGGACTTCAACTCCCAGGATTCTGGGGAATTGGGGGAACTGGGGAATTGGGGGAACTGGGGAATTCTGGGAGTTGAAGTCCACACACCTTCAAGCTGCCAAGGTTGAGAAACACTGGTCTAAGCTATCCCATTCTAAGTTCCCCTTTAATCCAGCCTGGCCTGCTTCTCTCGAGCCTTTCAACTTCCCCCAAGTGTCCCAGAGTCCCTGGTGGGACCTCAGGAGGCTATGCGTGGAGTGGCTGTGCTCTGCATCTTCTGGGTTCTTGAAGTTGGGCTGGGACTTACCCTCAATTTTTTTACCCACAGGGGGACTTACCCCCTTGCTAGCACCTGACCTCTGGAGTTCAGGGTTTTCTGAATCTTCCCCCTTTCTGATCTTCTCCTCCTGAGTTTTTGGAGCTGGACAACATCACTGTCCTTATTGTCCCACCAGGGACCTGGTGTCGTGCTCGCGTTGGCTTCTGGCATTGTAAATGGCGGCCACCTCTAGGCTCAGCTCAGCCCTAGGAGCATCTGCAGGAAATAGTAAAAAAGGTCAAGATGGCAGCCCTCTACGTGCAATGGAAGCCCCTCCCCTTTTTTACACATATAGCACACGGGGCACACCTAAAAAAGGGAAGGGACTTTGTCTATCCAGGTAGACCTGCCATTTTGACTTTTTGGAACCCTGCCCTGCAGATCTCCCTGATCTTTCCTCTCAGTTTCTAGGTGGTATCATCATCATCATCATCATCATCATCATCATCATCATCATCATCATCATCTTTGTTTTATTGGTCTTATATGGCTTTCCAATCATCCCAGACTGAGAGGAAACCATTGTCAGCCCTTCAGGGTAGTCCAGACCAGGAAACCAAAGTTTTGAATGCTAATACTACTTCATTATAAGGTTACAGAATCATGCAAGTCTGAATGCACCTCTTTCCTCCCTGCCTCTATGTTCAAGAGCCCCAGGAGGCACTTTCTCAAATACACTCCTGCTTTGGACTCAAATTTCTCTTATCTGATTGTTGTCTTGTTTGTGGCTCCTCTTCCTGTTCCTCAAGGTTATTCTCACATCCCATTACATCCATTCACGGGTATCTGCAGGCTTTGGTCCAAAAAGTTACGTTGGTGGCTGCAATGGTGCAATCAAAGCTCTGCCTGGTTTTTATATGTATCACCCACAAAAAACAAGAGGAACTTCAATCACCCCATCATAGCCATCATCTTCACTTTTATGGACCACACTGTGCAGATACCCCAATATTGCTTAAAGTTCTACATAGTTTGGGATTTGTGTTTATATGGCTGGATTCCCCTGGTTATAGAATTCACGCATCTTCTGGGTCTGCACAGTACACTGAGCCACAGAGAGCTTAACCAAGATTAATCTTAACCCAATTTACAATGCTAGACAAATGCATCTGCTAGAGGTTTCACTGAGCTAGCTAAATGGGTGGTCTGAAGACCACCAAATCAAAGGTGTTTGAAAGATCTCTCCTACCTCCCCATACAGGGTTGTCCCAGACAATGAGAGACTTTGGCTGGTGTGGGTTTTCCGGGCTGTGTGGCCGTGTTCTGGAAGTTTTGTTTCCTAACGTTTCGCCAGCACCTGTGACCGGCATCTTCAGAGTGCAGGAGCACAGACAGGAGTAGTTCTCTCTGTGCCCCACAGAGACCCACACCAGCCATCGTATGCCGGCCGTGAAAGCCTTCGACAATACAATGAGAGACTTTCTCAAGCATCCCTACAGGCCAGCAAGATGCCAATGGAGCATTGTACTCTTTCACCTGCATCTTTCTCCAACACATAACTAAACAAAGTTGGACAATTTCTGATCCATTTCTGCACCTACCGATCACAGAGACCACGGTGCCTTTCCCCGAAGCCAGCGGTCTCTCTGGGTTCCCTGTCGTGACCTTCACGCAGTAGTAGGTCCCAGCATCTTCAGGGAGGATGTTTCGGATGGAGATGCTGAAGTCTGTGCTTGATCCTGGGACGACCCTCATCCCCCGGTTCAGAGCTCCTTCTTTATCACTGTAAATGGGAGGTTGGCTTCTGTCCAGGCCTTTGTACCACCGCACTGCTCCTGGCAGATTCTCCCCAGTCAGGATACACGTCAGATTGAGGGTCTCTCCGGCTGTCACTGACAGGGATTCCGGACGTTGGGGTATCTCCACGTTCTGTCCTCCAACAACTGAAACAAAAAGAGCTCCTGTTTATTCTGGAGAACAGAAATTGCTGCAATCTGGACAGAGGTGAAAGCAGCTGCAGGATTGGTTCACCTCCTGAGATCTCCTATTGCAGAGTAAGATTAATTAACCCCCATGCTGGCATGTTGTTCCTTCTAATTCTACCCACTCTTTTTTCATTTGGATAGGAAATCATCTCTCAGTCAGAGGTTCACAGTGTTTGGATGGACTTCCTGAACCATCCCCAAAGTCATGGACAGCTGTCCAGCTCAGCTGCCAACCACCAAGGAGCCCTTGTCAAGAGGTGAGGTGTCTGTGTGTTTGTGTGCACATATGTATGGATACACTCTTGAGCACCACTGCCTGAAATACAGGTAGTCCTTGACTTATGACCATTCATTCAGTTACTTTTCGAAATTATGCTGGCACTGAAAAAAGTGACTTATAACTGGTCCTTGAAGTTACGGCCATTGCAGCACCCCTGCGGTCACATGATCAAAATTCAGGTGCTTGGCAGTCCACCTGCACTTTCGACCACAGGGGCATTTCAACTCCCCCTATCTATCCCCCCCCCATCTCTGCCCTTCTGGCTGCCCTGCACCCTGCCTTGTAGGACGGCAAGCAGCCCAGAACCACACGGCTCTGGGGCTGTTTGCCATGCCCCAGGGAGCCACAGCCACCCCAGCCCAGTCCCAGCCACAGTCGCCCTCACCACCCTGCACTCTGCCGCCCCAGCTGACCTTGCCGTCTTCTTGCTCCTGCTGCTGCTGAGGCATGCTGGGCCTGGCCCTTCATGCCAAGGAGCCCCTTTGCACGAAGCTGGCAAAAGCAAGCCCCTTTGCAAGCAGTTTCTCTGGTGAACGATTCCTACACGTGGCTCCCAGAGCTGGGGGTTGGCTCAGTGAGCTACATGTAGGAATCGTTCACCGGATTCAGACCTGGGTATGGGACAGAAACAGCATTGGTCACACTTCTGGATGAACTCTGGCATGGGCGGGACGGAGGTTGTGTGTCCATCCTGCTCTACTTGACCTCTCGGCAGCTTTCGATACCGTCAACCAGGGTATCCTTCTGGATCAGCTCAGGGGACTGGGGGTGGGCAGCACGGTGCTGGGCTGGTTCACCTCCTTCCTCCAGGGCTGATTCCAGTCGGTGGTGGTTGGGGAGCAGAAATCCCGCCCTCGGCTCCTGTTATGTGGGGTGCCTCAGGGTTCGGTACTCTCTCCCCTCCTATTTAATATCTACATGAAGCTGCTGGGTGAGCTCATCCGTTGCCATGGGGTGAGGTATCATCAGTATACTGATGATGCCCAATTATGCATCTCTGCCCCTGGCGAAGTAAGTGATGCTGTGGACGCCTTATCCTGATGCCTGGAGGCTGTGGGGATCTGGATGGGGAACAACAGGCTTCAGCTGAACCCTGCAAGACTGTGGCTGTGGGTTCGGGGTCCTGCCAGTTCTGGGACTATGCCATCTTTGGTACTGGATGGGGTGGCACTGCCCTGGGCAGACCTGGTACACAATCTGGGGGTCCTTCTGGACTCACAGTTCCTGCTTAAAGAGCAGATGGCAGTCGTGGCTAGGAGGGCCTTCGCAAAACTTCGTGTTGTGTGCCAGTTGCACCCCTTCCTGGATTGGGAGGCTCTGCTCACAGTCACTCATGCCCTAGTCACCTCCAGATTAGACTACTTTAATGCACTCTACAAGGGGCTGCCCTTGAAGAGCATCTGGAAGCTTCAACTGGTGCAGAATGCAGTGGTGTGGGCAGTTACATGTGCTTGTAGAAGAGCACACGTTGCATTGGCTGCCAGTTTGCTTCCGGGTCCAATTCAAGGTGCTGTTTTTGACCTTTAAAGCCCTTCGTGGCATGGGGCCGGGGTACCTGAGGGACCGCCTCCCCCCGATCACATCAGCCTGTCCCATTAGATCGGCAGGGAAGATACGCTACGCATTCCATCAGCCAGGGACTTGCATTCGGTGGGTCCCGGGAGGGGGGCCATCTCTGCTGTGGCTCCCTCCTTGTGGGACCTTCTCCCCCCTGGAGTGAGACTCGCCCCTTCCCTGCTGTCGTTTAGGAAGTCCCTCAAGACCTGGTTGTGTCCTCAGGCCGGGGGGGGGGGGGGTTGGGAAGGGGGGGTATTCTTAGTTGGGGCTTCCCAATTTGTTTTTTTGTTCCTCTGGAGAGGTTTGTTT